GTGTTGGTGGCTGCTGTGCTCCTGAGAGTCGTGGTGTGTGTGACAAGGGTGTTCGTGGTGGAAGTGTCCCTGACAACCGTGGTCTTTGTGATGAGATGCTGGCCATTGAGATGCTATGAACAGTGGGAGGTGGTGGCAGCAGCGGCGGTGGGAGTCGAAGTATTCCCTCACAGTGGTAGTTTGTGGCGATGGTGTTGGTGGTTGGCAGGTTACAGATGATGGTAGTTTGGGGTGATGGAATTGGGGGCTGAGGTGTTCCTGACAGTGGTCATGTTTGTGAGATGGTGCTGGTTGTTGAAGTGTTGTGGACAGTGGTCATGGTGGCGGTGGCTGAGGTGATCCTGACAATGGTGGTATTTGTGGGCATGGCTGAGGTGTTGTGGCCATGGAGCTACTCCTTTGGGTCAGCATCAGTGAGCCAGGAAGAAGACAACCCTGTTAGGTCCTAAGGTGGGTCTGCTTCCATCCTGGACCCAAGAGTACCTCCATCTACTGCCACCCCCACCACCCCCTCTGCCCACGGTGCCCACCACAGCCACCCCTGCGCCTCTCGTCCACCCCAGGCTCTGCCTGCAACATTTGTCCTGAGCAGTGGATCCACTTCCAGAAGAAGTGCTACTACTTTGGTAGATCCAAGCCAAGAAAGTGGATCCAGGCCAAGCACGCCTGCAGCGACCTACAAGGACGGCTGGTCAGCATCCACAGCTCCCAGGAGCAGGTGGGCTTGCGCTCTGCAGGGGGTGGGAACCTACTCCCATTTGCTGTACGGGGGATGGGAGGGAGGGGCCTAGGCATGGCCCCCAGTTCTCAAGTCCAGGCCTCCCTCCCAGGACTTCCTGAGCAGACACGCCAGCAAGAAAGGTTCTTGGATTGGCCTTCAGGACCTGGACAGGGAGGGCGAGTTTGTGTGGCCAGATGGGAGCCCTGTGGATTACAGGTGAGGAGGGGGTGCCTCTGAGAGACTGGGGAGACAGGTGAAGGGGGCCTCTGGGCTACTGGGGGGACAGGTGAGGAAGGGGGAACCCATGAGACGAGGAGCTCCCCAGATAAGCTTTTGGGGAAAGGGGAAAGGGCTCAGAGAAGGGGTCCGCAGGCCCAGACTCAGAAGGGAGGTCTCTAGGGTGCAAATGAAAGTGAGGCTATTGGAGTGAGAGAGGAGGCTTTGCTGGCTGCTGGGGGAAGGGAGGCAGGGAGGGGGGCTTTGAGTCCAGACTGGAAGGACAATCCTGGTGGGAGGTGCAGAGGGGAACACTGGGCAGGAAGCTCCAGGAAGCTGAGGGAGGGAGGTGGGGCCAGGAGAGGCCCCTCAGATGCAGACTCTGAGCGTGGGCGTGGGGGCAACTCGGCCGGGCAGAGCAGAGGACTGCCGGGGGCGTTTTCCAGGCTGCCATCCTGACCACAGCAGCCGGGTGCCAACTGCCCACCTTTTAGTTAGCAGCTGCATGCTTCACTGTTGTGCCACCAGAGCTCCTTGCTCTGGCCTGAAACCGCTGGGCTGCAGTTGAGGGGTTCGGTCAGGGTTTGGGCTCAGGCCCAGGACAGAGGAGGGGCATTCCTGGGCTGTGGGGAGGCAGGGGCACAGGAAAGCACCCAGACAGTGGAGAGGGCATCTAGGCTGCAGGGATGAGGCTGGGGAAGGGCATGTCCTTCCCCTCCCCTGACCCTGGAGCCTTCACCCCAGCAACTGGCGCCCGGGGGAGCCCAATGACCAGGGCCTGGGTGAGAACTGCGTGATGCTGCTGGGCACCTCCGGCCAGTGGAACGACGCCTCCTGCCGACAGCCGCTGGATGGCTGGGTGTGTGAGCGGCTGGCCACGTGCTGACCATCCCTGTCGCCTGCCTTCTGGGAGCCGCCCGGGCCTCCCTGCAAACCTACCCGTTTGGGTAGGGCCTCTGCCTGCCTGTCTGCAGCTCGCCATGCCCCTTGCTCACTGTGCCGCCTTCACACCTTCCTGTGACCACAGCCAGGACCCTGAGCACCCCAAGACCTAGACGCCTCTCGTCCTACCTGAGCCCTCTGTCAACGCCTGCCATGACTGTGTCTGCCCCCACTGCCAAATGTGAAGTAAAGCCCTGTCCCGTGAGCGTGGGTCCTCCGTGGTTCATGAGGGCTCCCTGTGGGGTGGGTCCTAACCCTCATCCCTTCTGGGTTTGTGGGTCATCATCATGGGGGACAGATGCCAAGGACTGGGTGCCACCACCAGGGACAGAGGAGGAGCCACAGGCAGGATGGACTGGACTCAGTCCCTGGCGTGAACAAGGACTATTTTCTAAAGTCACCCACTTCTGATACATACATGGCGGGTGAACCAAGAACTAACCAGCTGAGGCAGACTCCCGGCCATCCTCTGGGCTCCGGGGGGTGGGGGTGGGGGGCGGTGGCTAAGGGCTGATTTCTCAGACCACCAGGCCTTTCTTCCTGGTCACCTCTGGGCGGAGCCCAGCTTCCAACCTGTGGTCAGTGACCACGTGCAGTGCTGGGTAACTCAAGACAGCAGGCAGTGTGACCTGTCCCTCCCAAGTTCCCACAGAGGAACCCCTGCCAGCCAAGGCTAAAGGCTAGAGGCCCCCTCTTCACCAGGGCTCAGCACCAGCCAGGGAGGGGACCCTCCCTCCAACCTCAGTGTGCACCATCTCTGACCCTTCCTACCCTCTCTCCTTGGGGGGAGGGGCCCACAGTCAGGGTCCCAGACACCTGGCTACCTACGTCAACTAAATAGAATGCCAGCCCTGCCCCCTCCTTAGCGGTCTCCAGCCATGAGCTTTGATGCTGAGGATCAGAACTGAGGATGGAGACAAGCCCAGAGGCAGGTGGCGGCTGGGGGTGGGAGGGTGGGCCAGGATGGTAATCCTAATTTTCCTACTGAGTGCTTAGCAGGCAAGGCCTAGTAAGAGTAAGACTCCCCAGCTCAATGGTTGGACAATGGCCAACAGTTGGGGCAGAGGTCATTTTTCTACCTGTATTTACCTACGCTGTCAACATACCCATGAATATACTAGAGCACACAGGGGGCAGACCTATAAATGAAAACTGCTTCTCTCTAACCAAGTATCTTGGGGGAATGAGTTGCTGGGCCCTGTGGGGGGAGACCAGGACCATTGTCCCAGAGCGCACCAAGGTCAAGGGTATGTATGATGAGAATCCACCAAGACAATGTTCTGCATCCTATCTCAGTACGTAGTGACCGGGTCCTCAGAGCCTGTGGGCAAGCCGTCTGGGTCTTCATCTCTTCCTGTCTGGAGGCAAGAAGCGGGGGAAGAATCAAAGAGACATGGAAACACTTAACCCAAGGAGGAACGGGCTGCCTGGAGCCCAGCCTCCTGGCTCTGAGACCAGAGGAAGTAGATGGTGCCCAGCTACCACTGCTGACCATTCTGAAAGGGATCGCAATGGGTCCTGGATAGAATGGGGGAGAAAAGTGGGAGAGTCACCAAAATGACCAGTAAGCCTGACAGAGACGGGCCAAACCCTTGATACTAGTGCCTTTACACGCCCCTGGAGTGTGGCTCCACACTCAGCCGTGTGGATCAGCGTCCAGTCACATGGCAGCAGGCCTACAGGGTGGACAGTAACACCAGAACCCCGTACTCCTTAGACCCACCAACCACACCCAGTCAGAAGGGCTGCTGTTACCCTGGGATAAAGCTCAAAAGGAAGGAAGGGATCGGGAGCAAAGGAAAAACTAGTATAGTATAGTGGGTACGCATTGGGCTGTGATCCCCAAGGTCAGCAGTTTGAAACCACCAGGCGCTCCTCGGGAGAAAGGTGGGGTTTTCTACTCCTGTAAAGAGTGACAGTCTCAGGAGTTCTGCCCTATAGGGTTGTGATGAGTTGGTATCGCCTCGATGGCAGTGAGTGATTTTGATTGGGTCTATTGGGCTAAGAACTTTCCAGATCTCCCAAGTCTTGAGGGCAAGGGAGTGACCCCTCTGAGGCCTGGAGATGGGCTGCATTGGCCCACAGGGAGAGGAGGCCTGGGGCCTAGCGGTGCTCCGGAAGTGTTAGTCTGCTTGGGAATACAGTGTGGGCGGTGGGAGGCAGCAGCCCGGCCTGGGGAAGGACTGAGCCGCGGAGGGTGCTCCAGTCCCAGGCTTGGCTAAGGTCTAAGGAGGGTGCAGGGTAAGGCCAGGACCCCTCATCAGATTCGTCCCCACAAAAAGAGGGGCCTGACATGGTTCTGATCTAACCCAGAGGGAGGAATTCGTGAGGGGCCCACATGGGCAGACCAAGGCAATAGGGAGCACAATGGAGGGCAAGCTGGGTGCCCGTGGTGAGTCACAACACTGGGCTCTCAGGGCCTGACCTAGGTTAGGACCCACAGGTTACATGTCAGGTGCACCCCCACACCCAGGTCAGAGTTCCCCCTTGCCAGCAGCTCAGGCCAAGATTAGGGGCCTCCTATCTGCTACCAGCCTCCTCGAGGTTCCCAAACTGCAGCCTGGCTGTCAGGGCCTTTGTACCGGCTGTGGCCCTGCCTGGAACGCTGCTGGTGGGGCCGGGTGACCTTGGTCTGGGTCTCAGGGTTCATCGTACATTGGGCCTGGCGCCATCCCCTTGACTGGCTGTGGCTCAGAGCAT